TAAGTGTGTAGGTGCAAAAGGAAAAGAAAAGTAGACATGAAGATTATGGGTCCCATATAAGGCATATCAGGTTCTTAACAAAAGCATGGCGATATAAATAATAATAATAATAAATATTATATAACTATTTAAATGGTGCGGTTCGTTTATTATTTGCGGTTCGATTATTTTCAGTTTTTATAAAACTACAAACCGCACCACATCGAAAATCTTTGGTTTTTGAAAAATTTAAAACCGCAACGCTGGTTTTCGTTTCGGTTTCGGCTTGTGCGGTTATTTCGATTATTTTAGTTGCGGTTTGGTTCTTGCCCGCCTCTAATTACATATAACTTTTTTTATGATTATGTTATAAGTCTACTTTTTTTTATCTGAACGCGTTATATATTCATATAAACTGGTTTAAAGAAAATAAATGTTTTACATAGTTGTAGCGAGTAATTGAACAACAAACCACAATAACCCTTTTTGGATGATGAAACTAATTCTTTTAAGAACCACATTTATAGATCTTGGGGTCATGACATCACTAAGCATGGCCAGTTGGATTCTATTGGAGAGCTCCACAACATATGATACAAGGAAACCGAAAGTATCAAACACGAAATGTATAAACATCTGTTGATTTTCCATGTGCGGTTTCTTATATTTTGCCATTTTGAAGGAGACAACTTTTAAAGCAGTCTACCCCACAGTGAAAACCACACTCCCAAAACCCACAAGAAGGGAAACTCTTGTTACGCCGACCGGCGCCGATCCGAGCTAGAGTTTCAGGTTAGTGATATGGTACTCCTGAAGGTCTCGCCCTGGAAGGGTGTGATCCGCTTCAGGAAGAGGGGAAAATTGGGTCCCCGATATATTGGTCCGTTCAGGATCATTGCCAGGGTTGGCAGGGTGGCTTACAGGCTAGAGCTGCCGGATGAGCTTAGTCGGATCCACAACACTTTCCACGTTTCGCAGCTGCGGAAGTGTATTATAGATCAGGAGGCAGTGGTATCGTTGGATGATATTCAGGTCGATGAGCGTCTGAATTACGTAGAGAGGCCGGTGGCCATCTTGGAAAGGAAGAAGAAGATTTTGCGGAGCAAAGAAATACCTTTGGTGAAAGTGCAGTGGGAACATCGGAGGGGATCCGAGTGGACATGGGAGCCGGAGGCGGAAATGCGAGAGCATTACCCGGCGTTGTTTATTCCAGCAAACTTCGATGGCGAAGTCTAGTTCAAGTGGGGGAGAATTGTAACACCCCGATTCTCAGGTATTGTTTAATTATGAAGTTCTTTGATTTCAAGGTCTACTCGACGAGTTGGTTGCCCTACTCGTCGAGTAGCAGCGGGTTGGTCCACATGTTTTAGTGACCTACTCGCCGAGTCCATGAAGGGACTCGACGAGTAGGAGCTGGCAGATGAAACCCTAAATCACGGGGTTTTGCACCCTATTTAAGGAAGCATAAGCCTCCTTTGGCCTCTTTGCAGTCCATTGAGAGCCCAGAAAAACCTAATTCGTGTGGTGTTTCATTCTTGTGTGTGTTAAGCTTGGGAGGAAGATCCTTGGAGAAAAGGAACTTGGAAGGCAAGGGAATTGGAGCAAGGAAAGTGTGGGAACCAGAATCTACCTCAGCTAGCATCTTCCAGAGGTATCAAGTCGCCACCTTTACTTCTTTTCCCTTCTAGATCTCTTTTTGGTTGAGTTTGGGGCTTTTATGGATCTTTGAGTTGATATGGTGGACTATGGCCTAGATCTGAAGTTGTAACTTCAGATCTGGACCCTTCTTAAGTCCTAGAGTCATAAAGTTTCTGGTTTGGGCATGAATGAAGCCTTCCTTGGGTAGGAAACCCCATTGTGAGCTTGGATTTGACATTTAGAGCCTTTGTAGCTATGCATGCACGTAAAGTTTGCAACTTTACGTGAAAAGCATGCCTTAGAAGCTTGGATCTGTAGTTTGGAGCCGCTGCATGGCTCAAATGAGTCTGTATGGCAAAAAGGTCTGAAGGGACTCGGCGAGTCATATGAAGATAGGCATTGAACTCGACGAGTTGGATGAACAACTCGGCGAGTCCAATGAAGATTGTCGTAGACTCGACGAGTGGATGAACAACTCGGCGAGTCGGTTGAGGTTTCCCCCAACTTATGTACACGTGTGTAACCGTCGAGTTGCAAGAAGGAAACTCGACGAGTGGTCTTAGGGTTTCGATCGTAAACCGAAGGAACTCGGCGAGTCACCCCGGTGACTCGGCGAGTGGGCAAGTACTTCAAGGAACTCGGCGAGTAGCCGAGGGTACTCGGCGAGTTAGGGTCAACATGGACTGTTGACCTTGACTGAGGACTTTGACTTTGTCCAAGGGTTGACTAGTTGGTCTAAGGAGTACCTTGTAAGGTCGAGGGCTTATGGGTACTTTCGTATTATGGTAATAGGTGGTGGAGTCTTTGGCAGGTGATCCGAGAGTTGGAGTTTATCTACCGAGTCGACGTCTGCAAGGTGAGTTATCCTCACTATATCGATAGGGTCTAAGGCACCAAGGCCGGCCCTTTAGTTGTTATTGTTATGGTATGTTACATGTGGCTGTGATTTGTTAGATCAGAATCAGGATAGACAGTATGTTATGCTCTTATGATCCGTAGGGATTGATATGTTAGTGACCTGCTAGGTCAGTGCTCTAGTTGTGAGAGATTTCTATGATTGGTGATCAGTGAGATAGATATGTTTGATGTTTGTATATACCAGTATATGTTAGTTATGCGCACATGGTTATTTGCTTGTTGCTTGGGTTGAGGCGGTCCTGCTTTGTGCTGAAGGCCAACACACCCTATGAGCGGTCCGGGGAGACTGTAGGCCCACGTGGCGGTCCAGTTATGCCGAAGGCTCGAGACAGATTCAGATAGACTGTAAGCCCTGCAGGGCGGTCCAGTCAGGCCGAAGGCCCAGTCTGCATGTTGTTGTTTATCTGTTATTGATATGGTATTATCGGTGGGGTATTGGTATTTTGGGGGTAGCTCACTAAGCCCTCGGGCTTACAGTTTTCAGTTTATTGTTTCAGGTACTTCAGGAGATCATGGCAAGGCGAAGGCGTGACTGTACCGCTCCTCATCCTTATGATCTGGCTTTTGGGACACTTTGATTGAATAATGATTTGAAAACATTTTTGTGAACAATACTATTGGGTTTTATTTATGATTGAAAAAGTTTAAATTTGGCGTAAAATTTTTGGATGTTATACACGAACTTGTGTTTTACCTGCTAATAAATAGATAGACCACATTTTAAGCAGGTTTTACCGGTTACAATAAGCTTATTTGGCTTTTTATTTTCCTTTTTAAAACCTTATGACCCCACATTTTCCTTTGTTATACTTTTGTTGACTTCTCACTCCCTAAATGAAGAATGGCCACCGATAAAGTGATATTTATCTTCATAGTCGTCACTTCGTTGTGCTTCTTCATTGTATTCCCCCTCCTGCTAAATTCCGGTGACTAGTACTGTGACAATAAATGCTTACTATCCCGACACACTCTCCGAAAACCATCGTCTAGTCTCTGACGATAGCAATATCCGAAGATCCATCGACAATGGTCGCATAAATCTTCCATAGAACCACGACCACTACCAGAAAGCTCGCAAGGATAAAAAATGATGGATTGTTTGAAGCAACCTGTTTGCTTTCTTCCGTCGGAATTGGTTTCGTCGGCGGTCATGGATTTGACGGAAGCGATGGTTTCTTATCGATCGAGGCTACTTTTCTCTCGGTCAACGTTTGTGAATCGGTGGTGATCGGCGATGAAGGCACAGGAGTTTCCACATCAGCAGGTTTTGATGGAAAAGGTAGTTAAATGGAACGATCTATCTCTGAATCAATCGAAATTCTTCTTAATCGAAATTGATTGGGTTGTCATCGTTCGTTCTCAATTTTATTGATTTTCACGACATCAGAATTCTTTTGATTGAGTCGTCGTCGATCCTCTCGATTTTCTGTTTATTTTGGATATTCTCGATTTTTGTCATCAAGTACAGGTGATGAACTTTGCGATTCGTTTGGGGTTTCTGATGTTGAATCGTTCCCATGAATCATCTTTTTCTATTCGATAATAATGCAATCGATGGCCTGATGTCTTGATAGCTTCAAAAATTATCCAAGGAAAAGAAACCCCCCTTTCTAATCAATCCATGACTTGCTTTTACAAATGGTTAATGTTTCAGTGTTCATGAGTGAATTTCAATTTCCTTGGGGTAGATTTGAAACTGAATGTAGTGATTATAGAGTCAGAGTTACACAAGGGATTTGTGTTGATGGCTTTTAGAGGTAGCGAGTAGTCAGCGTTGTATGGTGAGCCGGTGTCCATCGGAGATTTAAATCCTGATGTAAACAAGAAACTAAGTGCTGCAGTTGCTGAGATTCTTAGCTCCAAACTCTCTCTGTTCCCAAATGATTATTCCTGAAAATTTTCGACTTAGAGGTAACCTATATGACTCCCACTTATGTATGTTTTCTTCGTTAATATGTAATATGTTTCGATTGTTTGTTTTGATTTTGATTTGACAGAGGTCAATTGCAGGAACGAATGTCTTCAAACTTAATCTCACGAGATGAACTGCAGTAACATTAGGGGTTGTTTGGACCATTTTAGTTGACCAAATGCCACATGACATATACAAATTGATGATTAGGAAGGGGTTCACCGGGTGACCCCTTCATATTTTTGATAATGACCTTTTAAAAGGATAAAACACAAGTTCGTGCCCTTCAAATGCAAAAAGTAGTTATGAATGACCATTTAAACCAATATACTAAAGTTTGTTGGGCTATAGTAACAATAATCCTTTTTTTTAATAAGAAACCGTTAAGTACGTCAAAAAGTCTACTATGGCCCACTATAAATTCTAAGCCCATCTACTTTGGCCCAATTCTAACCATCTAAATTCTAACGTGACAACTGACAAGTGAGGAGTGATGATGAAATCGGAGGGAAAAGCCATTCGAAGGGTTGAAAAATTGGCGGTTTACACGTTAAATAATACAGCTTCACAATTTACTTCATTATCTTTCCTCTCTAAGTTTTCTCTATCGAATAGGTGATTTTTTCTATACTTTTGAATTTTTGATACACGTTCATTCAGACTTTAAACCAGGGTTTTGATTCTACTATGGGAGTAGTATGAGAAATTCAGATCATTCTCTTGAGAACAACAGCAAAAGACTTCGTTCGGATCTCCATTTATCCAATTCGCGGCTTTTCGTAGTCAAACCCAAACCCACCATCTCCAGTTCAGCATCTATACACATAAACACCTTTGGTATACCGCTAGTATCGAAAACTACAGGTTCATCAGTTGATTTAATTCATCTCCAACCGACCCAACTTTACACGATCGGCAGGGATCGTCGCCTCTGTGATTTTTCTTTGGATCACCGGCAAGTAAGTAAGCAACACTGTCAAATTTACTTTGATGCATACAATAAGAAAGTATTTGTTGTAGATGGAGTTTCGTTTTTAAGCTCCGAAGAGTTTTCTAAAGTTAGGGTTTCTCTAAATGGGGTTTTCGTCGACGGTGCTAGAGTTGGAAATGGAGAAATTAAAGAAGTCAGCGCCGGCAGTGTGGTTTCATTTATTTGTGCCAATGAAGGTGTTTGTAGCAGTATCCGTATTGGGTTCTCGGTTGAAAGAATTATTTTCATGGAGGAAGTTATCCATGGAAATTCATCCAACTCCAGGGACGATTTGTTTCCTGAGATTTTTATCGGCAAATCAGGTGATAGTAAACTTGCTAATGCGGGTCTTCTTTCGAGTAAGTGTAGAGAGATACTCTCTAGTGACGATCCTCTGTTGTATATTAGAGAATGTTTACCCAACCCTTTCAAGTTAAGGGCTAAACACGTTAGTAGAAATAGAGTTAAAAGAAATTCATGCATTACTCCGGCTAACTTTTTATCACATCCTTCTTGTGTTGCACATGAGGTCTATTCTTGTGAGGGCTTAAACATTAATGATAATAAGCCAACCTGTTTGTCTAAAGTCGAACATTTGAATCTAGATACATCCTGTAGAAACAGCTTTATAGCTTCAGAGATGAATGTTGAGCTACAACATTGTAGTGTTAATGGTGGGCATTTACAACAACCAGTAAATGCCAGATTCCCTTTAGGGGAATGCATTTCTAACAATAAAGCTAGTGACATTTATACTTGTGAAGAGATAATCATTCAATCTGAGCAGAAGAAGAAAGGTGTTTGTGCTCCTCCGCCAGGGAATAAATTCTACTTAAACCGCCTTCATTTTATGGGTGATGATCAATTAAGTGAGGTTAATGTCACATTACCAGAGCTTCTTCATCCTGTTGAAACCCTTGAACGTGTTTTCATTGCAACATTCACAAGTGATTTATCATGGTAAGTCCTAAAGTTCTTGAAATTCTTGTTATATTTTTGAATGTATACATGTTCTCATTTTATCTTTGTAGGTTTTTATCTTACTGTGAGATTCCTGCCCAGCTGCCAATTTCAATCGCGTGCCATAATTCCGGGAGGTGTTGGAGTTCAAGCACTGACAAAAGAACCCTCAAACCTTACTCTGATTTTCCAAACTTAGTTGTTATGTAAGTCAATGACTTCTTGACCATGATTGTTGACCAACTATTCTGTAACATAGTTCTTTTGTGGTATCAGATACCCTCAATTTCCTGAGGTTATATCCTTCAGTAAAGACCGAAAGAAATTCGGCATCGCTTGTCATCATCCTAAATTATTTGTTCTACAAAGAGATGATAGTATGCGTGTAATCATCACTTCCGCCAATCTCGTGGCCAAACAGGTGACTTTCTTACAGAAATTACATAATTACCCTCATTAAGATAAGATTTTCATGGAACAGAGTTTTCTATTTTCTTTATGATGCAGTGGCTACGAGTGACAAATACTGTTTGGTGGCAAGATTTCCCTCGTGGGAATGTGCCTGATTATAAGTCTCTCTTTTGTCAATCATCTTCTGAAGAAGTAAATCAAGATTCAAAATCTGATTTTGCTGCTCAACTTGCTGGATTCATGGCAACTTTGTTAGTTGGTGCTCCTGATCAAGCCCAATGGATATTGGAATTAGCTAAGTTTGATTTCAGCAATGCTGCTGGACATTTGGTTGCATCTGTACCTGGGATTTATTCCCCAAAGCATCCATACATATCTGAATCCCTTCATTATTTAACTGTAAGTAGTTATTACATTACATGTATTTGTATTAACAGAGCTGTGGCATTCTCTTACCAAGTTTGTATATATTTATTTCAGGGTGATTATTGTATGTCAAGAACTCTAAGATGCATGTTACTTGGTTCTGTTGAAGCTTCTGTTGTTGGTATTAGCCACCTTTATCAAACATCAGCAGATTCAAATGGAACATTGCTAAAAAAGTTGGCTAGTGCCCTTCAAAAGCGCCATGTCAGCGCATATGGTATGGTGGAAGTCATTTTAAGGAGAAATGTGAATATAGCAGCTGATTCAAATGCTGTAAGTGTTGCTGTATCTGAGTCGGATAAGGGAGGTAGGTTTTGCTGTGTCTCCATGTCTGTATTTATAGTTATCATTCAGTTTGTAATAAACTTTATTTGACTTGTTGTTCTAGGTTGTATTCAAATCGGGTTTTTACCTAGAGATGTTGCAAAATGGGTCGCTCCGTTATCGGATGCGGGCTGGTTTGCCTTTTCTGCATATGTTTATCCAAAACAAGTGCTTGCATGTGCTTTGGAAGGGAGCAATAATAAAGTACACTTGATTCTATATGTGTATCAGGCATGTTTTTTTTGTTTTTACTTTTATCAATCAACTGCACAACAACATATACTAATATGATTCTATAGTTTTGATGTTTGGTTCATCGTACAGGGTCCTAAGTTTCTAAATATATCAAATATAGAATCACCAGCTCTTGCTTCTGCAATATGCTCTCTTGTTGCATCATTTCAGAGGTGTTCTGGCCTGTGGCGACTTCATGAGGTAAATGACCAAAATACCCTTTTACAGAAGCAGATGATATGAACAAAAACGAACATACATAATCTTTATTATGTGTTATTGTAGATTTTGGGTCACTACAAATGGCCTGAGCACTGCGAGACTGACTTTACTTTTGGTGAGTATATCAAACCTGAAATTTCATTTATAATTTATAATTTTTTATTTTGCCATTATTATCTGTGAATTTTATCATATTGTAAAAGGTGCTTCATCGGTGGGGTCCATCAATGCGCAATTTTTAGCAGCATTTTCAGCTGCAACTGGAAAGCGGTGTTTGCAGTTATCTGAAACAGAAGAAACGGATCCAGATGTAAGTATTAATGATATTTCAAACAGCTGACGTGGAATTTTATTTTATATCAGAATTGTTTTCATAATGTTTCAGTGGGGCTGTTGGAGTGCTAGTCAAGAGTTGAGAAATCCATCTATCAGAATCATTTTTCCCACTATTGAGAGGGTAAAAATGTCAAGTTGTGGACTTTTGGCTTCAAAATACATCCTGTGTTTCACACAAGTAAGATCAGTAGCTGAATTTTGATGATGTATTATGTTTGTTATAAATCTATGTATTGAATTACTAATTGTGTTGTTGAACAGAAAAGTTGGGATAGGTTGAGACATTTGGGTATACTTGACGATGTGGTTCCTGATCATGTTGATAGAGTCGGGCATCCTATGCATGTTAAGGTAATTTAAATAGCAACTCTGAGCATTTGTTAATGTTAAGGCGTTAATCTTTTTACCTATTTGCCCTTGACTATGGTAAGCAGGTAGGAAGGAGACGATTCCACGCGAAGGGTTGTTCATTTGGTTGGGTTTATTCGGGTTCACACAATTTTAGTGCAGCCGCTTGGGGTCGTCCACTTCAGAGTTCACATGATGATACGGGATTGAGAAGCAAATCCGTAATAGGGTCCAGACTCCATATCTGTAACTACGAATTTGGTATCGTCTTCATTGTGCCCCCACCATCAGAATCAGAATCAGACGATAATAAGGTTGAAAAAAACTTGGATGATATCACTTTGCCATTTGCTGTACCAGCCCCGAGATACAGATCCATGGATACACCTGCAACAAAGCTTGCCATGAGCAAGGCGTATGCGGAGCTTTGTAAGCAGGAACGACTGAAAATCATAGAAACTCTAGATACCGAAGAAGAGATAGAAGATGAGGAGGAGGAGGAAATCCCGAATGTTGTTATTGAGGAGAAGGACGATGATAAGGCGTATGCCGATAAGCTTTGGTGTTCGTAGTGAATCCAAGCTTTTGGCCATGTCACCGCTTTTTAGATCAACAGGTACCGAAGCTAATTTCGGAAAGATGGAGTGTGGTTGAGTCTGGTCTCGCAGTTGTTTCCTGTGTTATTGGAGAGGGTCGGATTTGAACGTCAAGTGAGGCAGCCGCTGTGATGATTCTTCATTTTTTTTTCTTCACAAGATGTGTTTAAGAACTGTATTGATAATACATGACTTGAATAATTTGTTCTTGAAAATGTAATTAACTTTATTGTTATTATATTGCCAACCCAACTTAATATTTTTACTTTAGTAAAATCTATCCAAGTTCTACCAAAGGACCTTTGGCTAAATGAGTTGAAAATATATATTTATTTCCAAATGATTAAGTATTTAAGCACATACTACTAAAGTTAATCCCTTTTTCAACCCAAAATTTTCTCATGCATTTTCAAAACTTGCCGTTTGTCTCTAATCTTAATACAAAATTACATAAATTTTGTTTTTTACTAATATATAACTTTGTCTTATAAGTGAATCAATTCATTAAGTTTGTTGGATTTTTTTAAATATGCGTTACTTTTTTCGAAACAATAAACATACATCCCATACTACTTAAGGTGTATATATATATATATATATATATATATATATATATATATATATATATATATATATATATATATATATTGTCCATCAAAAAACACTTTAACCTTCATTTGGTGGTTGATAGACATTTCATTTTTCCGATACATTGGACCACATGCCTACATAGAATTTAGTCACCTCAAAATTTTGCCCCCTTTATTTTTTACAAATCTTTTATACCGTTGAGTAATTGCTCAACTAAAAAAAACTTGATTATTCAATATTCTAAGTTTTTATTAGTTTATGTTAAAATGTTAAAACCATTTTAGACCATTCAGCTTAAAAAATATATGATTAACGATTTAATTGACCATCAAAGTTATAAAAATATCACCATTTGGTCACTTAGATCTAATCTTACTAATTAAGTTCTTAAACTTCCCATTTCGTCACTTTTCGACTTGACCCTGTTGTGGTGTCTAACATTGATGGGAGTTAGGTATATAACCCTCTATCTCCTTTCTTTCTGTCCTCTATCGTTTCTCTTTCTCTCGTCTTATCTCCTCTCGTCGAAGGAGGCTTCATTGTCGTCCTTTCTTTCGTCTCTTCTCCTCTTGTTGAAGAAGACTTCAGATGACATCTTCTTCTAAGCGAAAGTAAAACACCTATCTCCAATGTATTTTTTTTTTGATGGACAATATATATACTTGAAGTAGAATGGGATGTATGTTTATTTATCTCCATTGTATTTGATTTTTCCTAAAAATTGGTTCTCGGAGCTTTTTTGCCTTAGATTTCTAATTGGTGGAAGAATAAACCAAATACAATAGGAACTTGTTTGCCTTTCGATTTCTAATTGGTGGAAGAATAAACCAAATACAGTAGGACCACTGTTTACCTTCACTAAGAAGAGGATATCATCTGAAACCTTCTTCAACGAGAGGATAGGAGACTAGAGAAAGGGAGTCGACAAAGCCTTCAACAATATGTGATGATATGAGAGAAAAAGTGACGATAGAGTACAAAAAGAGAGGAGATAGATGGTTATAAACCTAAACCCCCTCAAGGTTAGACATCACATTGGTGCCAAGTCGACCCATGTGGCAAATGGTAACCGATTGAAACTTGCTTAAGTGGCTAAGTAGTAACGAAATTGGAAGTTTAAGGGTTTAATTAGCACGATTAAATCTTTAGTGACCAAATAATGAGTTTTTGTAACTTTGATCGTCAATTAAGTCATTAATCCAAAAATATATGAGAACAACAAATGTCAAATTAGTTATCACTCCAAATATTACCATAAAATTCTCATAAATCTTTATGCACCAATGTAAACTTCTCTAGTGTAGTTTGACTCAATCGTATTGGGGTTGTAGTGTCTTTTTATAAAATTTGATATAAAATTTGATGACGTTAGATTAGTTAGAATTTTAGATGAAAGTTGTGCAAAATGATTTGATTTATGATTTCTTTGGCTTGATTTCCTTAATTCGAGATTCTTTTAGGTCCAAATCGAAACCAAACCAACCAAATCTAAGGTAACCCGAACCAAACAAAAAACCAAATCACAATTCGGTATCTAAAGTTTCAAAAATCAAACATAAATATCCAAACGAAACATAACAGAAGATCGGAAAGATGATTTAAAGAAGGAAACTTTTGGAATTTTGCAATTGGAAAGTAGACGTGTTCGTGAAATATAAAGTACTATAATACTTGATTAATATAAATTATAAATCAAAGTCAATAATTCAGCATACCATAACTCAAACCCTAGACCAAATTCATAATTTTGGTTTGTTTTGAAATGAAACCAAACAGAAAACCGAATTTGAAATTTGGTTTGTTCATTGTTCGAATTTAGTTTGGTTTGCCAAGTCTTGATAGTTTCAAAAAAAAGTTGTGTGCCGCATGCGTGTGTATTCTTGGTTGGGTAAACTACCATTAATTTCCATAACCATTGACCATGATTACATAAAAAATAAAACTTATAATAAAGCTACATTAAGTAACTATTATATATAAAAGTAAACATAATTGCGCTCCAATAATTGAGTAAGAGTTTGTCATCATCAATTTGCGGCATCTATTTCTTTCCATATTTTCTTAGGTAACAAAAATAATCGCAAATGCGATCATCATTTCTAAGAGCCTCAACACCCCTTTGAGCATCACATTATGACATAAGCCATCTTTATATGATTAATTGTGAAGAGGCGAATTAGATCACTTAAAAGTTGAAGAGTGTGCAGATAAAAATGATGTTCGTATGGTTTAAAACAACCTAAACATCATATATCTATAACGAATAAACCCTTTGATTTTCTAAAATACCCTTCAAATCAAGTCGTTTATAAAAGTCAAATTATATAAATTCTAAAAAACCATATTCAGCCAAAAAAAAACACAATAAAATAAATTCCAGGCAATCAAAAAAATTGTTCTATGGTTAAGAAGAGATGTTTCAAAACCAAATATGAATCCATTTTTACCTCGGAATACTTCATTTCAGCTTACAAAAAAAAAACCAAGTCAAATGCTAGTTTAAACTAATAAGCATATAAAGAGATATGATGGGACTTTTTTGTAAGTTTTGATTGTACAACACTTACTTGACTTCACTTCATGGCTAAACATTTTTGAGCAATTTGGGCAGAGGGTGAACCACTATCACTATGTATGATGGATCTTCCCAACTTCTAGCTACTGTGCCATCTACAACCCCATTCATCACAAATACCACTCATTCCTGAATCATTTTATAAAACTCATGGTAAATATATATATATATATATATATATATATATATATATATATATATATATATATATATAGGTAGCAAAATGGGTGACTATTATCTTTTTATGATTATTAAAATAATAGCTTCAATGGCCAATTTAAAAAGAAGGTAAAAGCACATAATGATTCTCTGTAATTTGTCCTGATATGAAAACCAGGTAATCAGGAAAATGTTCTTAAACGGTTTTGAAAAAAAGATGAAGAAGTTATAATGTCTTAACTACTACAGACAAATAGTTTAAATTAATACCTGCTCCATGTCTGCTGGACCATCATTTTCCTTTGAAGCATCATGATCATCTGTGGGATTCTTTTTGTTGATATTCCCAATATTAAGATCTGCTGGAACTTGTCCAGATTGTAAAGCCTGTTCCACACATCAACATAGTATTATTATTATCATAACAAGAAATCAAGAGGAACCCACATTTTAAATTTAAACAAAATATCATAAATACCCTTCACTTCACATATCAGTTTAATACTAAGGAAAACATCACCTTTTCAAGTCTTGCTACTTCTTCAAGAGTTTGAGAATTGACAATTGCAGCCTGCGTGTATAAAAATAACGTTATTGCTTTCTACAACCATAAATTGGATCAATGGAACACATCAATAAAAAGAAAAGTGTGGATTAAGTTAGTTGTAGCTAAATATCAGAAATTAGGAAAACATAAGTGTTGTTTCTTTTTTATTTACTGGACTTAATGGGGACATGATTTGATCTGGTAAGCTATATATAACTGTTTCTTTTTTTGTACATAATACAAAAAGAACGACCTAATAGATAAAGTCCTAACAGTTTTACCAATTTGCCTTTTTTTTCTTTTTCATTTCCCCAAGTCCCCATGTGTGCATATGTGTACAGCAAAAACGTGAAGATACCTTTATAGCTATAATTTGCTCTGGTGTAGGGCCCACTGGTTTAGATGGCTCCTCTTCTTTAGACTCCTCATGGGCACTTGGAACCTCACCAGGTACAAATGTCTTGACAGATTCCTTTTTAGCCTCCTCTTCAGCTTTTTCTGATGCAAATAAACTGGCTGCTTCAACTCGCTCCTATCACCAACAATACAATATTACATAAAAGAAATCTTTTCAAAATGGAACACGACAATTGAGCTGAATGGCAGAAATAAATCAACTAACCTTTTGTTTCACTTTCTTGAAATCAAGCAAACGCAATGTCTTCAGTTTGTGAATGACATACAGGCGATAATTGGGTTTCTTTGTGATGTTATTGTCCAGCAAGCTCAGGTACTGTAGCTTTGGGAGTGACGCAAGTGGATCAATCTCAACCAAATTAACAAGTCGATTGTTAGTAAGAACCAAAGAGTGCAGTTTTGGCAAGAACTCTGTAAATTCAAACATCACATTGTTATAGAAAAGTCACAAATAAACTTCCAAACCAAAATTCATAACAGAAGGAAACAATAACCATTGTCATACCTCCAACGTTAGGGTTAATACGCGTAATCCTGTTGTTATTAAGAAACAACGTTCCAAGTCGATTTAAATTGGGGAAATTTTCGAGTTTAACAATCTCATTGTCAGACAAATCAATGGCGTCAAATTGGTCCTGTTTATAAGAGAAACCATCAATTGCATCATCAAATGACGAGAAGTAATAACGAAATATAACCCTACAAAACACACAGGTCGCACGTTCATCGGCTCCTTTAGTACTCATTAGCACTTCCAAAACCTAGAAATCTGAAAACAAATATACTAACCTCAGTAGCACCCAAGTTCTCTATAACAGCAATCTTGTTCCCTGTTGAAAAAACCAAACTTAAAAAACAAAAACAAAAATAC